GATTAGACTTGATAGAGGAAGGGTCAAATCTGGGCTGAGGAAGAAGTGTGAAAATGTTGAGTTTGAAGTTTCCATGGGATATTCAGTTGGACAAATCTAAAGTCGTTGGATATTTGGATCCAAACCTCAGGGAAGATCTAGTGACATATGTTTGGGAGTCATCTGATACAGGTGCTAGCTGAAGCCAAGGACATAGGAGAAGTGCCTGTGCGGGGGGTGCCATGGCTGTGGGAAAGGGGGCAGATGGTGGAACCCTGGGACACCACAGCGACAGGGATGGTGGAAGAAAACAGGTGAAACCAAAGAAGTTAGCGTCACTTAAGCCAAGGCAGGAGGCATTGGTCAGCAGTATGAATCCCCCAGAGCTCAGGTGAGATAAGGATTAAACAAGCTAAAAGCTTCAAGGATGAGAAATAAGCTTCCATCTTCTTTCTGCAACATCAAATCTAAACTCCTTTCACTAATGTCATGGCATATACCCCACTTGCTTCTTCATTTCTCCATACCAGCCTCCTCTTTATGGGCCCGTGAAGAAGTCACACCATTCCTATGCTCGTATTTTGCCCCTTTCCTGGACCATCCCACAATTCACCCCTTCACTTGTCTAAGTCTCATCCAACTTCAAGGCCTAGCACAAGTCGCTTTTTTCCCACGGCTGTCCCAGTGTGCCCTGAGTGTGCTCTGCTCTGTAGAGACCTGTTTGTATTTTACTCCACTTAACACTTGATTACATGCAGTCTGGTGGTGTTGGCTGTGGATTCATGAAGTCTGTCGGACTCTTGTAAGCTGTGTGAGGTGAGGGCTCTTATTCTTCCTCTGTGGCCTTTGCAGCCTGGAATGTTGCTGAGCAGATAATCTTTGGTCTGAAAAAGCGTTCTGGTTGATCAAAATTATTAAGATTTAAGCTTATCCAGTTCATGAGGATTCTTCAGGAAAATTTACATTTCAGCTGTCTCAGCAGAAGAGTTGGTATAAACCCTACGCAAGGGAGATCATTCGAGGGTAGCATCTTGGTTGGCTGATGGCCACATCAGCTCGGGGAGGAGTGCTTTGGGGACAGAGGACAGAAATGCGGGAGGGGCCGTTCCTCAGAGCTGGCACTGGTAAGATTGAGAGACGTGTTTCTATACTAACATCGTGATGCCAAAATGGGGTTTCCTCCCAAACAGGCTCTCAAACTTTACAGCTGGCTTTTGAAGCCTGTCTCGGAGCACTGCTCAATCTGGTTTGGTGAAAGCCTAGGGAGGTGATTGGACCCCCAGGACAGTGGCTGCTGAAGTTAATGATGATAGAAGAATTCTAACTTATTGCCATCACTGTGGCTGTTGTCGCTGCTCTCAGATGAAGGGAGAATTTTATGGTAGTGGAAGAGGTAGTTGCTAAACAAAGGACAAAGAAATAATCCTGTCTCTTTCTGATCATTAGTTTAGAATTTTTCATGACCCTGGACTTCCAAAGAGAAATTGAGGTCCTTCTCACCCACAGATAGAGGACCTAGATCTTTGTAGCACCCTCATTGCTGAGGGAGGTAAGAGATCATATCCTGAGTTGGAGGTCATATTGGTTGTTTCTAGAACTACCAGGTCACTCTGTGGGTGTTGGGTTATACTCTCCAGAGGATGGAGTTATTTAGGATCCCCCGAGACTGGTGTGCCTGCATTTTAGGAATTTTTGAAAAAAGGAAATGAGGATTCTGTCAACTTTTTTTCCTGTGCACCTTTTCCTTTGAATTTATAGTTAACATCCTTTTGGTAGTGTACCTCTTTGCTTCTTAGTTCTATAAACCTCTTCCTAGTTTAGTTTTCATAAATAAGGGAGAAGTAAAAATAATTTTCTCAAAAGGACTTGTCAACATAAAGCCATGAGGTTAGGTTGGTGACATGAGGACTGAAGGAAACTCTTGAGGTCGGAGCTCTGCAGACACATTTTTCTGGAAAGTGACAATAAAGCAGCATCATGATCTGTTCTTTTTCCTTTAGAACAAAGAGATGCCAGTTGTCTCCCAGGTCTGAACTGGACTTGGTTCTAACTATTAGACAACCAAAACCCAAGGCTTAGTCTTTAGAAATTGAGTTGTGTCATTAGTTATAAGAACCTGCACTCATGCTAGGCACTCTATTTTCAAGGATGCAAAGATGAATAGAAATTGTGCAGTCGTGTGTTATTCAACTCTGGGTGCAGAATTGTCTCTAACTGCTTTGGATGCCCAGAGATGATGGAAACACTGTTGATCTTAGACAGCAAGGCAGGTGGGACTTGCCAGGGACCATCTTCAGGGATTCCTTCTTCTGCAGCTCATATCTGCAGTGACTCATCTCTATTTCTTCCAGCCGCAAAATCAGACCGATATTTTCATCTGATTTTCCTCTCTGCTTCACAAGGTAGAAACCTGTATCTAAAGAATAGAGCCCTTTAATTCTCTAGAGCTCCAACAAGCCCAGCTCCCCCAGATTATATACTTCTCAGCCAATAGCAACAAGACAACTTGAAATGTTGTCCAATGTCCCAGGCCCAGACCTAGATTGGGTCCACTTGATCCTGAGGCTACTGTAACCAACCCTTTCCTACCTTCCCTTGTCCTCCTCCCTTACCCCTGCTCTGCTTTGTCACCAATTGCTACCAAGGTCAGTTGGAGGAGTCTCCATCTAGAACTCAACTCTCAGGCTCTTGGATCCCTCTGCTGGCTGAAAGCAGAAGTACTGCTAAGCTTTTTCTTTTTTTGTTTATTTTTAAATGAATTAAGGTATTCTGATGACCATTTTCTTTCTCCCACTCTTTCTCTTTCTGATTGACACTGTAATTCTTAATAAGTTTCTCTCAGTGTCTTTCATTTTTATACTAAGCGCTAGTTCATGGCCTGTTCCTGATAGGGAACCACTGGTCAGTACTGGCTAAACAAATGACTCAATACAGGGTTACAGGGGCTGCTGCAGACGTAGCTATGAGGTATGGAGAGGGCATTAGATCTTCCACTCATGAACCACCCCCACCTCTCCCACCAATGATGATCATAATAATGGCAAGTTTTTTTACGGACTTGGAACCAAATCCTTTGTTAGATACTTTACAGGCATTATGGTCTAATAGCCCTTACATCAGCTTTGTGAGGCAGCTTCACTTTATCATTAACTCCACTGCTCAGATGACAAAGCTCAGGCTGGAGTTCATGGCTTGTCTGTGGTGGAGCTCAGGGCTGGACCTCAGATCTTTGGTGCCATATCCTACTTCAAGCCACACAAATACAACTTCCTTATGTGCTCCAGGCTTTACAGGCCTTTATTTTGGCATAAGTGCTTTGACCTTGCTCTCTGCCTAGAGATTTCTTTCCCCCTCATCTTCTCTTGGGAATTCTGACTTTTCCTTCGAGATTCAGTTCAAGGGCCACTTGGTGAAGCATGCACACCCCTCCCTCTCCTACCTTTTATTTTGGTTGTGTTTGCAGAGGCCCGGTGAACCATTGCTCGCCTCCAGTGGAGCCGTCATCCCATGTTTTGGTCATGACTTCCTTACTTGTCTCTCCTAGCAGACTCTAACTTTGAAAGTAGGCAGCGTATCTTATTGGTCTTTGTATCCCTAGTGCAGCCCAGCTCAAAGTAATAGAAATAACAGCAATAGTTAATATTTACTGAGTGCCCATCTTGGGCCAGGCAGAGAATGTAAAATGAGAGAATGTAAAAACACTATATTTTACATTCTCCCATTTAGGCATCACAGCTACCCATACTATGTGTAAAATTATTAATCCCATTCTACAGATAAAGAAACTGAAGGTTAGTGAGTTCTATAACTTGCCCAATGTTCCCCAGTAAGTAGCCAAAACCAGGGCTTGATTCCAGGGCTCCCCGAACTTTTTTCACATTTTGTTAACTGTCATGCCCTACATTTTAGACCTGAATAGATAGTCTTTATCTTTTAATGTTGATTAAGAAATGTGAGTAAAAAGATTATTAATTTTTCTTCACTAAAATTAGTAGTGCCCTGAGAAACATTTGCTGTATCTTCCCAGGAGAAAGGCTCTGAAGAAAAGGGGCCATTTAAATAAATCAGGTTTTGAACTTTTCTGAGGAAAAGAGTTTGGGAAATATGAAGTATAGAAGGTAACTGTAGAAATGCTGAAAATCCATTTCTTGACTCTGTAACTTCACATGAAACTTTGCAGCTATTTTATGAAATATTTTATGAAATAATCACTGTGTTTATCTGGCTCATCCATCATCTAAAATTTCCAACTGTAAGTTAAGCATTTTTTAGGCCTGAAATTCATTGAGTATGGACTTAAGTACCCAAGAGAGACAAATCCAAACTACCTACTTTCCAGAGCACAATTTAAAAACAACAAGAAACAAAAAAACATAATCTTTGCAAGTAGATTTTCTGTTAAATTTAACATATTAATTAATGTTAATTTTGTTTAACTGTTAAAATATTTCCCAGAACATGCATTGGTCTTTACCAACCTAATTGATGACTCATTTGCCTGTCTTTGAGGTTCAGGTTACTATTGCATATCTCAGATTTTCAAGTTACCATTGAAATCAGTGAAAAATTTAAGATTATTTACTCAAGAAATGTAGGCTATTATTAGTAACATCAATATTTATAATTTTTATACTTTAATATAGTATTCTATGCTATGATAGGCTGTCTGATGATTACATTTTAATAACATCTAGAAAACTCCAAAGCCTTTAAAGGTACCCTTACTTACCTTCTAGATATTAAAACAGGATTGCTACCATTCCCATTTTATAATATGTGAATTTGCCTCACACTAGTGGAGAGTAGAGATAAAATCAGAATATTAGGGTAGTAAGGGATCTTGACCCAACTTTATCATTATACAGATTTAAAAAAAAAAAAATGATCAAAAAAGCTATCTGCAGCTCCCTGTCTTCCCTAGTACACTAGAAAGCTACATTTCATTAAGAAAACCTATAGTTCCTTGCTCTCTTAGCTCGGTCCTTCTCTCACTGCAATTTTGCTAATTTTACTTTCTTTAGGTCGTATTCCCTGTCCTGCCGTGCTAGGAAACCATGACGACTGCCATCTTGGAGCACCTGAGCACCCTGTCTGTAAGTGGGCAGCAGCTGCGCCGCCTGCCCAAGATCCTGGAGAATGGGCTTCCCAAGATGCCTTGCACCGTCCCAGCTTTCCGAGAGCCTTACATCCGAACCGGCTACCGCCCCACCGGACACCAGTGGCGCTACTACTTCTTCAGCCTCTTTCAGAAACACAACGAGGTGGTCAACGTCTGGACCCACTTGTTGGCAGCTCTGGCTGTCCTCTTGCGATTCTGGGCCTTTGCCGAGGCCGAGGCCTTGTCGTGGACCTCAGCCAACACCCTGCCCCTGCTCCTCTATGTCCTGTCCTCAATCATGTACCTCACGTTCAGCGTTCTGGCTCACCTGCTCCAGTCCAAGTCAGAGCTCTCCCACTATACTTTCTACTTTGTGGACTATATTGGTGTGAGCGTTTACCAGTATGGCAGTGCCTTGGTTCACTTCTTCTACACCTCTGACCAGGCCTGGTACGAGCAATTCTGGCTTTTCTTTTTGCCAGCCGCTGCCTTCTGTGGCTGGTTATCTTGCACCGGCTGTTGCTATGCCAAGTATCGTTACCAGAGGCCTTACCCTGTCATGAAGAAGATCTGTCAAGTGGTGCCCTCAGGGCTGGCTTTCATTCTAGACATCAGCCCCGTGGCGCACCGAGTGGCCCTGTGCCACCTGGCTGGCTGCCAGGAGCAGGCGGCATGGTACCACACCCTCCAGATCCTCTTCTTCCTGGTCAGTGCCTACTTCTTCTCTTGCCCGGTTCCTGAGAAGTACTTCCCAGGTTCCTGTGACATTGTGGGCCATGGGCACCAGCTCTTCCACGTGTTTCTGTCTATCTGCACGCTCTCCCAGCTGGAGGCCATCCTCCTGGACTACCAGGGGCGACAGGAGATCTTCCTGCAGCGCCACAGTCCCATATCCGTCTACATGGCCTGTCTTTCTTTCTTCTTCTTGACTGCCTGCAGCACTGCCACTGCAGCCTTCCTGAGGCACAAAGTCAAGGCCAGACTGATGAAGAAAGATTCCTGAGGCTGGCAGGCAGGTCGAAGTATAGAGGCACCCCATTGTGATTTGGGAAAAATGCGATACAAAAAATCGAAGTTGACTTTTCATTTTTGAGTCAGCTTTTAAATGAATACGTTTTCCCAAGGATATGCTATGGCTATGGCATTGAGAAGCCAAAAGATTCAAGAGTTATGTTGTTATAGTTGTTAATAAAAGGAGTATTCGTTTTTCCTCTGAGTCATAGCCTTTCAAGACACAGGAAAGGAGAGGACCTTGGCTAAGATCCAAGGGACACTGAATTAAGGACCATCCTCATACCTGAAAATTTAGTAGAATCTGACTGTGGCCTCCAGGGGCAAGTCCTGGAGCTGAAGGGAGAATTAAACTGGACTGGAAAACAAGGAGATGGCTGGTCCACACCATATTGGAATGGCCATCCTACTATGCTGGCCTTCGGTAATTGAATGAATTGACCCAAGGACTTGTTTTTGTTTGGATTTCAGATTGTCCAGGGTGGAGAATTCAGAATCTTTAAGATTCAGTGAAACCCTCAGACATAATGAATTATTCAATTCATCTGATTTCTGGTCCCTCTGCTCTCACCCACTCTAACCCCGATCCTTTTCTCAGGATGATGTCTCCCTGGCAGTTTTCTCTAGAGTGCTATTCGCTTCCATCCATACCTTGGTAATATTTAGGACTGTGAAGTAGTCATAGTTGCAGGAAATGCTTGGATCCATGTGGACAACCAGGAAACTTATTCTCATATAATTCTAATGCAAACAGTATTAGAAAGTACAGTGCCAAAAGCCCCTGGAGACCTAGCCAACAGGCATGGATACAGTTTGGTGTCATGGGGCTCTTCTGTGAATACCTGTGGACTGCAGGATTACTTGAGATCTATTAGAGCTGCGTTATAGGCCAGAAGATCTGGGGCTTGCTCCAGGGAATCCTCTCCAGATTTTGACCAGCATCTTCAAAAAGTCCCTGGTAGAGTGCATCGGTTCTAAGAGTCCCTCTAGGGATCTGATTATTTCAAGAGGAACCCGAGGTCAAGCCTTTTAAATGGATACTGCCCCAAGAAGGACCTAATAACCATCCTAGTTCAGGGTCCCCAGGTGGCAGTTATGATTTAACTTAGAGCTGAACCCTTACAATAATCCAGTCCCAGGAGAGGTGAGTGTGTGTGCTCACTGTGGGTCGGTCCCTGAAGCCTCCTTTGGGTAAGAATGGTGAACTGGCCACCCGCTAGCTAGAATGTTGTTCAGGACATTGCCGCCTACCAGCTCTTATTGGATAGATGGTACTAGCCATTGATGTGTTCTGACCATGCAGCCTCTCTGAGGACTGACTTCTGCATTCATCCAGGGAGAAGGGCTCCATTGACAGAAGAACCATAGAAGCCTTCTCAAGGCTACATTTCCTATCTACTCTGTTTACTAAAAAGGGAAGTGGTTTGTTTTTACTCCAGTTCAATGAATGTCTTCTATTACTAGATTATTTTGTTGTCTTCAAATCTTTGTTTTCTTTCTTTCTCCGAGAGATTTATGGCTTTTGTGCCTTATAAATGAAAATGTATGAATACTACTTAATATATGACCATGTGGAATTTTCAGTTTTGGGTTATTGAGATAAGAAAAAAAGAATTCATGGCTTTTCAACTAGTAGATGAAAGAATTGCTTATCAAAAGACTCTTTGAATCTGTATTTTGTCAAAAAAAAAAAAGAAAAAAGAAAAAAGGGAAAAAATATTCAACTGAAGCTTTTCCTATAATATTTGTATCAAGAAAGTATATGTCTTGTCAACTACATAGTTTTCCTAGATGGATCTCTCTGTTACTTCTCAGTTATTAATCCTCAAATGCCTGAGTGTCTGTTCTACCCAAGTGTCTTACACAAACTTCTGGTGTCTAGGCCAAATTCACCGCAAATAAAGTTAGTAAAAGTGAACTAAACAAGGGAATGGAGGAGTTTTGCAAACATTCCAACTAGAGAGTCAGTTTAAAACAAGGAAGAGAAAGTGTTTGAAATGTCCATTAGATTTATGGATTCAAAGACAATAGATATTCTTTTTAAAAGTTGGAAGGAAGATGTTAGTCATGCTCTTGAATATAACTGTGATAGTCATGGTGGGCGGAGATCTTTAGGCCAAATGCAGGTAATTTTTAAAAAGAAAACAGGAAATACAGCAGTGATTTTCAAATGTAGTCCACAGGCCAATGCCAGCCTGCATACTGTAAACAGTCTCTAACAAGACAGATACAAGATAGACTAAACTTTTAGGTATTGCCGTAAAATTTATATTTTAATTTATGCAAGTATTAGTTCCTCAAGTGATTGGAAACTTAAAATAAAAAAAAGTTTCACCAGAGATATTTGAGAAGCATTGAGGTACGGGACTATCTCATTAAAAAATATCAGTATCTCATTAGTATGTAAACACAGGAAATGTGGATGTTTTTACGACTCAGACTTTTGAGGGGTTAAATACTTCTTTTAAAACATTTTCATTAAAATGAATGTACCTGTAAGGAACAGACCTATTGTTTAAAATGAATAACTAAGTTTTTGATAAAGGAGATGATTATCTTTCTCCACCATACCCTCTCCAACAGTTGACATTTACTGGAAATTCTGTTGGTTCTCTTTTTTTAACTAGTACTTTCAACCTATTAAAATGTAAATGCTTCTGAAAAAAACTAAACTATCAGTCATTTACATCTTGTGAATAAAATTTTTGATGGATTTGTATGAGGCCCTACTCAGGGTGGGGAGAGGGGACAGCAGGATGCAGCATACTGGAGACACATTTACCTGTTTCCTTCTTGCCAAGTTCTTGACCTATATTTGCTAACGACGTAATGTTAATACTCTTCAGATGTTAGGGTTTCATTTCCCACTTCAGCTAAAAGTACCTCATTCAATAACAATATTCTCAGTCCTCTACTGGAAGCTTGAAATAGCAGGAGCTCAGGCCTCTGGATAAAGGTAGTTCATTTCTGTCTCTATTGCCCGCTTGTTGGCAAATTGTACGTTTATGCTTAAAACCATTAGGTTTTTTAGTTGCTGCACTGTAGTTTCAAGTGAATCCTCTAGATGGCGCTCGTGTCTTAGGGAGGGCCCAGCCGTTGTCACCAAGGCCTCGGCCTATTAATTGTGTTGGTCCTACCGTTTTGCTTGATTGCTTGGCAGGGGAAAAAATGGAACGATTTTCTGTTTATGTAAATCTACTTACACAAATGACCATTAAACTGATTTTGTATATGGATTGTTTTACTGTTGATAAATACCTTGTGTCTTTGACATGGCCCATTGACAAGGACTGCTTTGACAAGGCCCATTTTAAAGGTTTTATCTAGACAATCATTGAGTAGAGAAGGAGGTCAGTATACACTTTATATCCACCTAGAAGTAGGAAAATATAAAAGCATAAAAAATCTCTATACCCAAACTCCCCAAATACACACACACACACACACACACACCCCAAATCCTCACTTGTAAATAGATTAAATTGCCCCTCCAAAAAAGCTATGGAGTTGATTTCTCTGAAGACTTCAAACTAATTGAATAAATACTCCTAGTTTCATACAAGTGTTATAAAGATTTTGAATCGATGGACTATATTTTTTAAAATCTAAAAATTACAAATTATACTATAATTATGCTGTCACAGATACTACAATGTGTGTGCTGTGAAATGTAACACCTATCAGCCAAAGGATTTTGTAGCCTAACAGATTTAAATAGCTGTGAAAAAGATGATTCTCTAGGCTAGTCGAACCTCAGCTACAGTACTGTCAC